AGATAACTGATATGAATACCAATCATTCACTCATCCTATTTCCAGGAAGAGCCCCCAGTTTTCAAGTAGGGATCTACCTCACCACTATTCCTGGTCCATGTGGTCTGGATAAAAATCCCCTCTACTCCCCTACTTCCTAGCTCTTCCACAGTGACTACAAAAAAACCCTATCATTGCCCTTACCACCATGTTTTGTTCAACGGTGGGCACGTGACAAGGCAAGCCAATCAGAGCAAAGCCTGGGATTTTTACTTACAAAGAAAGAGAGAGTCACTGAGATCAGTGACCCAAATCTTCCATTTTATAGGAAAGGCAACTGAAGCTGTGGTTTAAGGGCACCCAATTGGGTAGAAGCAGCATTGGGTCTAGAATGCAGTTCTCCTGACTTCTCTATCTGGTTGATTTTTCTACTGTATCCCAGTGGCTCTTCAGAAAAGACAACAGAATGCCCAACTTCACTTACTAATTTACTCTATTAAATTTACTTTATGAGTTTCTACAATGTGCTGTGGGCACCATGCAAGGTGCTGGTGAAGTCTGAAGTGAATGAGATCTAGTTGGGTTAGGTTCAGAGAGATGTACTTCCAAATTACTCAAATGCTTGCCAGAATCTTGCCACAATGGAATTTTCTGCAAAGCAAAGAATCTCCTCCACTGACTCACTTCATGCCATATAGGTTCCCAAGGAAGTTCATCAAAATTTCAGTGCTTGCTGTGTGGTTTTCAAAAGAGGCTGAACTCAGGAGCTGGTGGGATTTGATTTTTATTTTTAAAAAATCACCTCCTTATCCTCCACCTGCTCTGTACCCTACTGCTCACCAGCAAACCAATAACCCAAATCAGAAAATTTCAAAAGCCTGAATTTCATGAAATAGTGTTTTAAGGCTGCTTTTAGATAAGTTCTTCCCCAAGAGGTCTGCACTCCAACAGAACTATAACCCAATTTACACATTTTCTTTGACTTGTACCTTCTGTAGCATCTTTTGGATAAACAATAATCACTAAACTACATCATTTTTCTTAGAGAAAAGGAATAACTAAGATTTATTGAGTGCCTACTATGTACTAGACACCGTTTTTGCCATATTACCAACACTATCTCATTTAAACCCAATTAAGATAGGTGGCAAGGCAGTATCATTTTTCCATGTGACCGATGAGAACTGAGGCCCGAGATATGAAGTGATTTGGCTGTCGAATTACTCTGTCACAACTAAGAGGTAGGAGAGCAAGATAGCTAATCCAAGACTGTCTACATCCAACGCCTTATCTTCCGGCTGTAGCCCCAGCTCAAACCCCAACTAAGAAAACAGTTTTATTTCAGCAAACAGCAAAAAAATCACATTTGGAGGAATACAGGCATGTAGAAATTGGTGTTCAATGGCAAATTATGTTTGCATCTAGGATTGGGTCTTAGAAAAGGGAAGGTTCAAACTTTAGTGCACATAAAATTATTCAGAACGTACATTTTTAAAAATGAATGAAAAAAATGTGGAGATCCCTCATCCAATAATCCCAGTTCCTTAAGACTGGGTGTGGGCCTAAGATTTACACTTCTAACAAGCATTTCCAGTAATTTTGGGTGGAGTCTTTAAGCCATTCTTTGAAGTCTGAGTCCTGGTCCTGGGTGTGATGTAATTTTCCCGTGTGACTTTGAGCAACATCATTTATCTCAGGGGAACTCAGCTCCTTCATCTGGAAAAGCAGAAAAGCTGAGTGAAGCGTATTTTCTTTATTGTCTTCATTGAAGTGTAATGCTTTCATTGTCTCATAAAATTACTCCCCCAAACTCGATGCAGAATGGATATTATCATTGCTTCTGCTTTGCAAATGGTAGAAATGGGTGTTCTGAGCATGTGAGTGGCTTGCATACAGCCTGATTCTAATCAGAGCCAGAGTGATTAAATCACAGTACTGTGCTGGCAGTTTCTTCTAAGTTCAGTGTTGCAATGCAGCAGCACTAGACAAAGGGACAGGTCACGTTCAAAGATTCATGTTGAAAAATAAACAGCTTTAAAAAGGCGCTCCTTCATACTGATTAAGAGAGTCCACTGGGCTTGAGGTGGCGGTGTCTTCTGTCCTGGGCTTTAAACAAATATGCCAGGAATCCCAAGGGCTGGGCCTAAGTAGATCAACAGCAGTGGCCACTAGGGGGCGACCTGTGTGGTAAACCTTCAGGAGTGATTGCAGAATAGTGCAAACGGTATGATTTATTTGCCAATTCCTGTCCTGGCTGATAGAATTTCCTCCAAAGTGACTTACAGTCCATGTGAGTCAAAGCAGAAAACTTGTACCTTCAGGGACCTTGTCAATTCTTCTTCACAACTACCCCTTCCTTACCCCGCCTCCCCGGGTGACACTCACCCCTGGGCCTATTTATCCTCTCATTCCCAGTTTCCAAAGTGGGCTCCTAGGAACATTCCTGCCACTGGATGTAAAGATACTACCTGGTTTTCCTGAAAAGAAGAGATCAGACGTCCAAGGTGTTTGGAAAATGATGGTTTATGCAGAGTTTGAGTTTTTGTTACCACAAGATTTCTCAGAGCCTTTCATTAGCTCTCCTGATAATAGTAGCAATAATATCAGAAATGACCTTCATGCATATACACTTCCCATATGCCAGGCACCATGACATGTGTGATACATGATGTCTCATCTCATTCTTAACATGATATTGTCTTCATTTTATAGATCAAAAAAACAGAAACAAAAACAGAAACAAAAACAAAAACAAATAGAGGCCCAGATTGGCTGAGTGACTTGCTGAGGGTAACAAGAATACCAAACGATGGGGCCACGACTGAAACCCAGGTGTGTCTGAGGCTAAGCCCATCACACCCTGCTTACGTCTCTCATTGAAGAAGGTGGCGGGGTACGGGAGGCAGGAGCCATACAAACTCCCCAACCTTGTTATCATGCCGCATGGAGACTCAGGACTTGGGGTCTACAGGTTCGAGGGAGATCATGACCCCCCAGGAACGTGGCCTGGGCCTTTCCGGGTCCCTTCTCTCTCCTAGCAGACAGGATAAATAAAGGCGCATTTAGCAGGACAGGTGAAATTAGCCCAGTTTGGGTAGAAAAACAGCTTCCAAGCCCTTGCTTTTGACCTGGCTTGAACCATTTTCTAAACGCATCGGACAACAACAGGCTGATATAAGGACAAGGATGCTGACTGCCTCCAAATGCTGTCACGGGAATCATAATGGCTTTGTTTTTCACAGGGGAGGAAAAAAGAGTTTATGCCTCAAATTAGTAGGTCTGTCATGTTCCAAATTGTTTGCATTTCTAAAAATGGACATTGACATGTGGACAGTTATTATCTAATGCAAGACCCAAAAATCTGCCTCTCTCAAGGCAACAACTGAACAGGCAAGGGATTCTCACTAGACACCTGGGTCTAAAGCTCTGTCCCCTAAGACAGGAATACAGTGCAGCCCCCTCGCCTCCTTTCTCACCTCCCAGAGCGCAGGCTGTTTCTGAGCCTCTGGGACCCAGGTCAAAGTGGCTCCCTTCTTCAGGGCCCTCAGCCCGCAAAAGATACCTGGAGACCTAATCAAAGGGTTTCATTTTCTAACAAAATCTCTCTACTGCAGTGATTTCCAAAGTGCAGTCCCCAGACATGCAACATCAGTATCTCTTCAGACTATCTTAGCAACTCAACCCAACGGGGACACTGCCCAAGGCCCAGTAAATCAGCATCTCTGGTAGGTCCCAGGAATCCGGGTTTTAACAACCCTGTAGGGTCCGTGAGGTACGCTCAAATGGCTCGGAGGAGTGAGCCACCGGTGGGCACACCGCTCCCTCCTCCCCACGCACATGCACTCATTCACCGTATTCCACAGCTTCTCAATTACCCCTCCACTCTGTTTTCTTCCCTCCTTCTTCTACCCACCCAGGCTCAGCTCACCGCCCACCTGGATGACTGCAAGGGCCTCCTGGCGGGTGTCACCAGTGCCCGTCCCCTCTCTCCTAAGCGAGTCTCCACTTGGAAACCAGAGCTATCTTTTGAGAATGCCAAATTGGTCACGCCAGTCTCCTGCCTAGAGCCCTGCAATGTCTGCTAATTTCCCCCTGCTCAAGGCCACGAAAGAGTTCCACCTCCACCTCCTTGGGGCTACTGCAGCCTCCCCACCACCAATGCAACAAAGCACCAGGACTGAAAAAAGAAGAGACAAGTCTCAGGTCTGTTCTGAAAATAGCTGCTCCTATCACACCCCAGTGGGAAATAACTTCGGCATTACAGCCAGACAGACAGACGCAGATTCAAACTACAGCTCTACCACTTAGCAGCCCTGTGACTTTAGGCAAGCGAGGCATCCTCCCTCAGATACCCATGTTCTCATCTCGGAAGGGGGATGCAACACCTACACTGGGTCATCAGAGAATTAAATGATAACATAGCACTCTTGCGCATAATAGGGAGGTAACGAGATATAGCTACCTCTTGCTCACCCAGCTAATTGACAGACTCCAGTCAACCAGCTCCTTAACTTGTGATGCTACCTCAGGAAAGATGAAAATAGTATTCTGTTCCCTAAAAACTCCATCATTCCCAAGACCCAAGGAATGTTTGTCTCTCTGTTTATCTCTCCCTCAGATGCTGTGTTTTTTCCCTGCATTAATTTACCTTGTGTTTTGCCATTTTCCCCGTGTATCTTTCTGAGAAACGGCAACATTTCCTGGAGGTCTTACCTGGGATGATTTCTGGGAGTAACGTTTTCCTTCAGGCAGTATATATTGGGAAGTACAAAGCAGTAATCCTTCAACCATGGGCCCCAAGCACACTAGGCTCCCCCCCTCCAACACACACACATGCACGTACACACAAACACACACACAACACCTATACACTGGAACTCAGACGGACTTGCAGGTCCATCCAACATGGACACACATGTGTACTGGGTCATAGACAGATACCAGGACTCTCTGTGTCTTCACTGATTAATGTCAAATCTGACAACACCTGTACAAAAGAGCTAGAAAAAGCCATACGGTACCTTTTGGTGACTTAAGTGTCGCCACTGCCCAGTCACCATCAGAACTTCCTAAAAAATAACAATTGAGAGATGCTGATCTGTTTCTTGCTTCCCAGCTTTGCTGTGCCCTCACACCCAGGTGCTGCTGGAGGTCCCAGCTGGAGCCTCCAAGGGGGGCGGGCCTCAGGGGGACACAGGGAACAGGGCGAAAAACCAAATGTGCAAATCAGATTGTGTAAGCACCTCTTTCTGCAAGGCCTTGACGCAGTTTCAAGACAAGGCCTGCAGAGGATCCAAAGAAGCCCCTGCAAAGGGCCTAGATGTTTTCAGTAATGTAAAGAAAGAGAGAGAATTCTTAGGCAGCGACTAGCTCTAAATCTCAACTGTCTAGGAAAGAGACGAAAATCTGAGTTACATGAGGTGACTTTGGTTAATGACAACACTTTGTCAAAAAGAAATAAATTTTGATCCCATTTTACCATAATCTCCCGTCTGAAAAGGTGGGGAGGTGCATTATTAGTGTCAAGTTCAAGGTAGCGACAGACTCTGCTGACTGCAACTTTAAATGCTGGATGGCAGCTATGCTTGAAAAATATTGTTGAATGAATGAATGCATTCAAGTTTCTCCAAGGTGTCACTTTTCCTAAGGTACACAAATTCCCCTAAAAGCTAAGCTGGTCATCTGAGAATCCTATAAGACCTGTAATTTTGGTTATAAAATCAGTTTCTCCAAATTGAATTCCATTTCAGAGGTTCTGAATGCATGCTGGGGGACTCTCACACTATTAGCAGAACCCCATGGGGACCATTTTCATAAAGTAAAAGATGGCTATGGCTACCCACCCTGTGTTTGTCCTTGGTAGGCTTTCTCTGTAAGATTGGGTCTTACTCAAAGCGGGGCAAACCTGCACACTTGTCTTTGCAGCAGCTTCTGCTCATTGGCTGCAGGTCTGACCAATCAGTGGATGCCACCAGCTCCCTTTTCTGTCTTAGGAATCTACCTGGAAAGACCAAGTTCTCAACATTTATGCATAGTTTCCAGAGATAGATCAGGCTGCCAGCTGAGAGTAGACGCAGGGAACAGTCTGTGATCTGAATGATTACAGCGCACAAATCTGGCCCCATTTAAACATTTCCGGTTGGCCTCTCAGCCGTGCCAAAGGACACTCAAACTGCCACATTCCCCCTATGGACATGAACTCTATACCCTCATCACTCATAACAGAGGGGAAATTGGAGGGACAGGAAGGGTGACAAAGTTAAAATTAAGTGGGACCCGCCTGATATGACTTCATGTTTCTTCTTTCTCTGAGCTGGCGTCATTGACATCTGGAAATAGTTATGTGGTCCCAGATCTTCTGTGCGGGTGGACACAAGACTGGCCATCACTGAGTCACTGACCTCAAAGAAGCCACCTCACCCCCAAGTCAAATCCATCACTTTGCCTTGAAGGCAGGAGCCACGCGGTAGTCACCACTGTCCCCATTACCTAAGCCAGGGCTTAGCTCCAGCAAGGCAATGACAAGTTTTATTTCATAAATCCATTGCTAATAAGGGCTCTTAATCAGATGGCACATAAGCTATCAAAACATAGTTAAGGTTTTACTGTGCACTTGGCAGCACTAGTGGACATTAGATAAGTATTTTGGAGGTGACAAATTAAATTCTTATTAAAAAAGGGATGGGCCTAAGGCATTGAGAAGAAGGGGACATGAGGGAACTTTCTGAGAGATGAAAATATCTCTTACCTTTACTGGGATGTCAGTTACCCTAGTGTATGTATATTTCAGTAATCACACTATTGTAAAATTATGATCTGTGTACTTTCACTATGTGTAAATTACCCTGCAACTAGAGTACACTTTAAATATGTTATATCTCAATTATACACAGCATCATGGGAAAATTTTTGCCATCAAACAATGAAAAACAGTGAATACCTTACTAAGTCCTCCTTTACAAAAAGGGGAAAATGGGCCTCTTCCATCTTTTTTTGTTTTCTTTTGTTATGTCCCTTCGATGCCAGAAATTGCTCTCTGGAAGACAGCATCATTTCGTAGAAAGAACATAGAATTCTGAATCAGGCAATCCTGAACATGACTCTTGTCTCTGCCATCCACTAAAAGTCTAACTCTGGGAAAATTACTTAACTGTACGGAGTCTCACTTTCCCCATCTGCAAAACGCTGGGACTAACCCCGAGGTGTGTGCTCTTTGGGAGTTCAGTGATACTAGCTCCCTTTCCGCCATACCTTAAAATAAAAAATAACAAGCAGAGGTCAATTCATGGTTGAGGTCTTTATGCATCATTTGGGGTTTTCACACCAGCAGCGAGAGTGAAGGAGCAATTCCCACATGTCTTAGTGCACTGTTGCTATAGTTTTAAAAAGTGCTGTTGGAAAATGTAAAATGGTTCCAAAAAAATAGTCTATCATCTGTCAAATAGTAAAAAAGAAAATATTTTCTTATTACAATTTTGAATTAAAAACAAAGGTCCCACAGCATTTATCAATCATGCTGACACATCCTGTCTCTCTTAGCAGGTAACTAAAGTTGCACCCAAGCATCTCAACAGCCCATCCTCAGGAATCTTTGGCAGGCAGGAACTTAAACCCTCAGACACCTAGAGGGAAAACTAGACTTGGGGCCAATGGGAGATAAATGCCATTCTGGGGGCAATTTTCTGCTTGCAAAGCCCTTTAGGAATTTAAAAGATAAAACGCTGGTCTTTCTCCAGTTCTGGAGGCAGGATTCTCCCCTCTCTGAACTATGAGGTGACACTTAGGGATATTTTGACAAACAGCTCTGTCTTGTAAACACTGACCTACGAGGAACCATAAAGTGGGTCTTCACATTGTAACCACCCCTCACATGGGTGGTTCAGGTTAGAGAAATCGTGCGCTCAACTAAAATTTTAGGTGATGTTTTGACTCAGTCTCCCACAAGAAACACTTCTCAACTTCAGTCTTGGGGGAAATGTTTCCAAAACGTTTGAACCACACTTCTGACTTAGTAAAGAGGTTTAACTGAGTGAAAGAGAATCTTTGATAGACTGTAGCTATTCATCTGGGCATGGGTCCTTGTTGTCCAGGAGATAGATGGGGAGAACAAAGAGCTTTGGGCTGCCTCTTTGCTGGTCCTCCAAAAGGCCGTGCTGTTGGCTTGCTTGCTTGTTTACTTTATGAAAATCCCAAAGTGAGTTTGCTTTCATGCATGTCTTTCCCTTCCAACTGGAGTGAAAGATATGGCTCTAACTATTTCCTTCAAAGTGCAATCTGGGCAATTGTATGTTAATCAAGGTACCACTTTATTTTGGAGATTCAAGGAAAAATATAAGCAACAAACAACTCTGGTTTAGAGACTTAACAAGGTGGCAGAATTTACTTAGAATTGACTGCAGACCAGATCAAACACTTTCTGTGCACTATATCATTAAATCTTTCCAACAAACCATCAGCTGTGTACTTTTATTGTCTCCAGCTTACAGATGGGAAAACTGAGACTTGAGGAGGTTAAGTAGTTTTTTCAATTACTTGAAAATACCTAAATTAGATTTTAAATTCAGTCCTGACCAGACTCAGAGGCTATGTGACATTCTGCCATGTAGTTAGTCGCCTCATGCACCTGATTTGATGTGATGCCTATCACATGGTATTATTCACTGGTTTTACAAATATGTATTGGGATCACTTATCAAGTTTCCCACATAGTACTAGATGCTAGAGATACACTGATGAATGGGGAAGACTTGGTTCACGCCTCAGTGAGATCTGTAATAAAGGGACACCATATTAAATGTTCAAGGATTGAATAAATGAATGATTGATTGAATGAATGAATGAACTGAACAAATGAGAAGTCAATCCTATCACTCATTCTTGTACAGAGTCTGATTGTACAGCGTCTGATGAGGTTTAGCCTCTGATATTTCCCTAGTGCTTGGTGATCTTTTACTGATAACTGGGCAGTGAAGCCCTTGGAAACAGAAATAATTCTGCAGTCACATGCTATATATAAGCAGATGTTACATGCCCAAATTTATGAATTGTAGAGAGAAAATAGCTCTCGTTGAAGGTAAATGAACGTGATTTCAAAAAGCAAACAAAAGATTAAAATTAAATAAAAGGAACAACCACCAGTTACAACCCTCCTCTCCCCAGAGTTGGAAGTGAATGAGTGGGACAATTTAAAGGCCCACAGGTATTCTAATAAGTAGAACAAGTTGAATTACTTAATTTTCTAATTTTAAAATTACAATGGAGGGAGTTTGGAGACCACATAATTCAGCTTCCTCAGTTTTCAAATTAAGAAACTTGGGTCAGAGAGTTTCAGTGACAACCCCAAACCCATCTGAGGTTCTGGATATTAAAGCCACCAAGAGAAATTTATTTTTCAAGGTATTTTGAAACTTGGTAGTTAACTCTAAAAGCTGTCCAAGCCTCAGCTTCCTCTTATTTAATAAATTGAAATGTGTATAAAATGAATCTGGTTATCAGAGGTTGTTGAGCTTTTAACAGTAAACCATTTTTTAAACAACTTCTTTCCCGGGTAGTAATGATTTCATTAATGGAATACATTTCATCATTCACACCACGGTGACATTGTGACTTAATAAAGAACCTTTGAAAGAATGTTCATTATGGGATTTGCATGTCATTTGTGCAGGCAGACACTGGACTCCTGGGTAACCCACCGAGTCGGGCAGTCCCTCAGTCAGCTCTTCATGGGACCTCTCTACTCACTAGAGATTCACAAGACTAACTGTGTCTCAGATAAGGACTGTGAACTCCCACAATAGTTAGAAAACGAGAGTGGAGAAGATGAGGCCACCATCAACCATATCCAGGATTGGGGACTGTTCCCCAAGTGAGATCCTTTACAGTTTTTAGAAGATATAGAGGTGCTGCTTCCTCCCTACTAAGCTATTCTTTGATTCTTGTCAAAGACAAGTTCATTCATTCATTCAACATACATTTCAGGAGTTCTTCCTTTGTGGAAGAAAGGGTTACTCAAAGAGTGTCAAATAAATTTTCATATTGCAAATTTAATTCCGAATGCCGTGCAGACATTTGCTCTGCACAGGGGCTCTGCATAAATCCTGAAGTCTGAAATCAAAGAGCCCTGTGCTAATATCCATCCATTATTTTCCCCAAGAGATACTGACTGGGTTTTGAGCGGGGATGAGACACTGGGCCTAAGTTGAACAAATGAGTTTTTCAAGGTAATGTGACCAGTTCAAAAAGAAAAAGACATCTGGACTGATTGTTTTTAGTGCCAAAAGAAGAATCAAATATAAGGCCAGACACTATTTATTACCTAAATGCACAGCTCAGAAAGGGAGACAGGCCACCAAATAGTGCATGAGGCTCCCGCAGTTACATCAGCACAGATGCCCTGACTCTCTCTCCTAAGCAACAGCCCTCATCCCTTCCTAGTAATACAAGTCTATTTGAACATGTTTAAGATGCATATGCTATGAAAACCCACATAAGGAATAGAGGAATCTGCGGTCATAGAGTGTAGATGAGGGTTGAGTTGGGTGTAGAAATTCAACATGAAATATAGGGGATTGGTGTGTAAGGTCTTATGAAACTTCAGATTTAGGAAAGCCTGTGTCAGCTGCACAACCTGCATCCTTGGTATTATAAATTTGGCTCAACCCCTCTTTGAGTGGTTCCATCTGGAAGTCCTAGGAGATCCGGGAACATAAATTCCTAAAGACAGAGTTCTGGTTCGAACACTTACTAAGCTCCTAGTATGTGCCAGGCTCTCTGCTGGGCACCAATATGGTTGTTTTGTGAGTCTAATGTTTGTAGACCATGGCAACCACAAGCATCATAGACACGTGACTATCTGTGCTGTGGTTTCTGGTACAAGTATGTAATAAAGTCAGGATATTTCATGCTGGAATCACTCAGCTAGTGTCTTCCGCTGCATCTCTAATGAGGGGCTTGGGAGTGGGAGAAGAAAAGAGGATGAGAAGCTGTCACTAAAAGAAAGCATGTGGTCTGTGGGTCTTGTGTTTGCCCAAAGCCTGACTTAGCTGTGGCTGTCGCTTTCATCCAGTAGAACTCCGTGATGAGCCCTGGCTGGTGTGGCTCAGTGTATCAAGTGCCAGCCTGCGAACCAAAGGGTCGCTGGTTTGATTCCCAGTCAGGGCACATGCCTGGGTTGAGGGCCAGGTCCCTAGTAGGGGGCATGCGAAAGGCAATCACACTGACGTTTCTCTCTCTCCATTCTCCTCTCTCTAAAAACAAATAAATAAATTTTTTTTTAAAAAAAAACTCTGCTATGAGTACATTCTTGCAGGCCCTGGGTCACTGACATACTCCCTCATGTACGACGGGGGGGAATGGACTGGAGGAGGACCAGGGTTGTGGGAGGGTAGTGGCAAAAGCATAGGCTCCAGAGCAATAAAAACACAGGGTTAAGTCTCAGCTTTGCCTCCCACAGGCTGCTTGACTTGGGGCAAGTTAATGTCTTAGTTTCCTAATCTGAACATTGGGACAATAATTGTGCTTTCCTCTTTGGATCACTGTGAGAATGAGACAGTGTATAAAAGGCCCCATGGAAGGTCTTACGCTGGATAAGATCTCCGTTAGTACTAGCTCTAGGCTGCTTGACTCAGTAAATATTTACATCCTGAAGAGCAGAAGCTTCCTGGGACAGGAGTGTTATGCTTATCCACTTCTCAGAGATAGGATGACTGTGCGGATAGTAATTGCTACCCACTAAAGGGCAAGGCATTCAGAGGCTCAGTGTCCTGGATTCTATGTCTAGATCCCCTGAGGGTTCACCAGGGCAGATGGCGGATGATGAAGGGGCTGCAGTGGCAGCGGCACCAAATGAGCATACAGATCCTCCTCCTCGGGAAATAGCCCCAGCACGTCCCCTTGCTTTCCCCATCCCGCCCGACACAGCAAGGTAGGTCTTGACCTGGCCCTTAGTAAACTGGATCCCAAGTAGAGATACCCAAAATATATAGATAGGCAGAGTGACAGATAGACAGATAAAGAGAAAAAGGTACAGAAAAGAAGAGAAATGAAGAGGAAGATTTTGAGAGACAGATGAAGGAAGAGAGAGATTAGAAAAATAGAAAAGGGAGAAGAAAAAAGGTGGAGAGAGAGATCTGGGAGGAACAGAAAAGTAGAGGAGGGAGAGGAGTAACAAAGTGGCACTTACCGACGGCCTTCAAGGAGGCGTACTTGTTGAGCTCTTTGCCAGGGGGCTGCTGTTCATAGGGGTTGGAGATCTGGCCCAGGCTTGGGTACGAATGTGGATGGCCCATCTGCTGCAGCAAAGGGGAGGTGGGCACTGCGTTGTTCATCTGGGTAGGGTCTGGAAATGAAGAGACAGAGGGAGTGGTCACAGGCAGTGCAGATCCTTCTGCCCACCCTCATCACATCCCCGTAGTTGTTGAGACCAAAACTCCCAACTGTTTGGGGACAAGGGAGAAGGAACAGCAGAGGATGCATGGATGCCTCAGGAACAGCTGAACACAATCTTCGCTGGAGGGCAGGTGGGGACAGATGGGTAAAGGCAAAGAATATGCCCAGAAAGTCTCCACCTCCGCCTTAAATGAACACAAGGTAGAATCATTGTAGGGACTGTTTCTGTTATCAAAACAATATATGAATAAAAAGATAAGCAACTTCAGTAATAGCCAAGGAGACACAAGTCAGGACAACAACAAGAAGCTATTCCTTTGCCAAGAGAATGGCAAAAACTAAAAAGATTGAAAGACACCAACACTGGCAAAGATTATTGGGCAACCTCATAAACTGATGGTGGATGTGTGACTTGCTGTAATTGCAGAAGGGAATCTAGGAGTGGATGTTGAAACTTAAAGTGCATGTATATATTGACCAAATAATACCATTCTAGAGACTGAGCCTTCAGAAATACAAGCATCATAATATAAGGCTATTTGTTCAGAGATGTTCTGTGTGCTGTTGTTTCTAAAGTGAAAACACACACAGACAGAAACAATATGAACTCCTATCAACATGGGTATTCTTTTTATAAAATTTTAACACTCATTTCTTTTCCTACTTTTGAGCATATTCATTCTCTTATTCTCATTCACTGTTTCATTTTTAACATGTAATAATTGATATATGCCAAATATACATACACATATATGTAAGTTATTAACCTACCACCTAATTTATGAACTAGAACACAATCCATGCTGACAAAATTCTTAAATAAATTATTGTACACCCATATTGTGTATATAACATATACATACATATGACAGAATACCATTCATTCATTAGAAAAAATGAGTAAAAAGTCCATTAACTCTATCCATGTCAAACTGTATAGTTTCCTATGGTTTTATATGGTTAAGAGGAAAAAAGAAAATGTCAAAGCAAAGAAAATAGTAGAGCATTTTTGTTAAAGAAAAGAAAATCTATGCATACTTTTGTGTGCTACAGTTTGCAAAGACAGAAAACATATGTCAAGACACAGAAACTGAATACTGGTTACTTTTGGCAGAGATTCATGGGGAGAGAGTTTCAAGAAGGTTTCTCTGAGCAAGTGTTCTTTGAGCTGAGACCTGGAGATGTAGATGTCAGTTAGGTGTGGTGGAAGGTAGAAAGTACTGGGGAGGCTATTGCAGACAGAGGAAGCAGCGAGGAGAAGAGCTATGAGGAGACAGAGAAAAGACTGCATTCCCGGAGACTGAGAACACACTGCCTGGCCTTTAGCCAGGCATGGCTGGAGTGCAGAGTGTGAGGGAGGTGGGACAAGCTGGGGCAGGAGGGCTGGCAGGCCCTGGGACACCCTGTTAAGGGTTTCCATTTTCATCCTGAAAGCAATAGGATGGATGCAAGAGCGAAATGGGAGACAGGGGTCTAGGTGGCAAAATCATGGCTCCATTTCAGGCAGGAAATGTGGGTTCTCTCCAACTTAATGGAGCACATATACAAATTTCAATAAACTTGGCACTACATGCTGGAGTTGCCTTGAGAGATGCCTAGCACAGGTACCCATTTCCCAGCTGCTGGGATTAGCTCATAGCTGCTCCTAGTATGCAGAGAATCACTCTCTAGGCTGACGAGAGCCACCACCCAAGGCTTAGTGTGCTTAATGCACCTCACCCTCACCACCTGGGTGGTCAGCAACCAATGTCCAGCTGACACTAAGTAAGAAGACCAGCCCTTTGCCTCAAGTTGGGGATGAATTATGGAGCAATGGATACCACAGAGCTCCCCAGGATTGGGACAAGTTTAGAGCAGGGGTTGGCGTCTTTTTCTGAAAGGGCCAGACTGTAATTAGTGTAGGCTTTGCCGTCCAGTTACAACAGTCGCTGTTGTAACTACTCACCTCTGCCCTTGTAGTAAGAAAGCAGAATAAACATTATATAAATGATGGGTGTGGCTGTATGCCAATAAAACTTTATTTAGAAACATAGGTGGTGGCTGGATTTGGTCCAATGACTGTAGTTTGACAGCCTCAACCTAGACTTTATCTGAGACTGAGATCCTTCTGTGTGGCTCCTTTATCTTTAACGTTTCGTTTTCCCCACAACCTTAGAGGTGTGTATGTGTGTGTGTTACGTGAAGGGCACTCCCTCAAGTCTCATGTCCAGAACTTCTCTCTTAAGCACTGCTTTTGGACAATTGAACCCATGACATGCGTGGAATAGCTCGGCTTTAGAAACCAATAAACTAAATGAAAAGAGGCAGGTATTTCACAGCTGAGACACAGAGATAAAGAGAGTATTTTTATCACTGCACAGGCATGGGCCGTCACACAGCCCAACTGTCTAATGGAAATGTCGCCAAACATAAGCCAAGTACCCAGCCTCTGGCCAGCATCAGAGAAGGCAGACATAGCCTTCTGCCACAATAGTTTTTTGGCTAAGACTCAGCTGCGACAGCGGAGCCTGGATATTAGTGAAGTAATAATGGAAAATGTCTTGCAGAAGGTACAGCTTTAACTGTACCTAGAACCCCAAGATCTACGGACATTTTCCTCTCCAGAGCGACCTGCTGGGAAGTCTGTATGCTTCCCTTGGGTACATCAGGCCAGACATGCTTTGTGCCAAAATGTTGGTCCTTTTGGAAGTGGCATACTGTAAGTCCTCATTGTTTGCTGTTATGTGCTTTTTCTCATGATATTTTTCTAGTGGACAGCTACTCTTCTTGTGTGTTCAGAACCACCACTTCCTTTGGCACACTGTTTCATCCCCATTTGAGTCATGAGACAAGCTGCCAATCATGGCAACTGCCTTAGTTTGGGTTTCCCCAAAAGAAGTCACTGAGACAAGGACTCAAGTTCAAGCAAGCATAAATGAAAGGGGATCTCAGGAAATACTGGTAAAGGGGTAGGGGGAGTGAAACAAGGAAGAGGAAGCAGCAGACAGTGAGTGCAATGCCAACCATGAAGCAACTGTGGTGAACTGGAATTTAATTCCACTCTGGAATTCTCGTATGTTGGTGTGGAATGCATGTCTCAGAATTCTGTCATCCCAGGGCAAGGGAGCACCTTAGTATATATACTCTAATTCCTATTAGTCATTGATTGAGGGCTGGGAGACAATCGCTCCTTAGCACTTGCAACTTGCCATGTCTGTGGGCAAAGAGAGCTGGCAGTTGGAAATCAGGCCGGTATCTCACCCTTTTGGCCACAGGAGTGAGCATGTGACCCAAATCAGACCAATCACAGCACCTCCTTCTTCTCACAGTAATTAGGCCAGAAGTGAATGTGTGATCTAGGCTGGGCCAATCAGAGTTCTTCTCTGAATTTTTCTATTTGGAACTTTTGGTGTCCAGGAGCTAGGAGGCTATGAAGTCAAGTGAGTGAATCTACCACATAGACAAAACTTTTTTTCATTGTGAAGAAATAAGGGCAATGCAAGAGAAGCATAGCAGACAGGGAAGCCCCTTTTTAAATAAGCTAGCATGCTTTGGGATTACTGTCACTTGCAAGGTAGGCTTCTGACTAGTGTGATTGTTACCTGGAACTGATCAGAATGGAGGCCACCCATAGGGCTATAAGGCAAGGCCAGAGGATTTTGTCAGGTGGAATTTTCTCACACAATCCTCTGGATTTTCTACAGAGCTTCAATATATACTTCAAACAGCAAAATGTTTTAGTAGTGCCTAAAGAATGCTTAAGGATATTCATAAGCTAATTAACTGATGTCTTAATGGTAGGTCACCCCTTTTTTTTCTGGGAATAGATCCCAAACACTAGCTTGTCCAGTAACATAGTCTCAGCCTATCAGCCAGTGAGAGCCCTTTCTCCCATCTCTTTGCTTCCTTGATCCCAGACCCCACCCACTAGGCTTAAATACTATTTCCAGGCTGGTCAGGGGAAATGCTAAACGTTTCATTAAAGAAAAAAAAAACTCTGTAGAGATGTTCCTCACCACGTGGGACAGACTTCTATATAATTAAACAGAATGTTTAATATTCCATTATAAAGTATTTGCTTTTGGATGATTCTCCCAAGTCCTGAGCTACCTCAAGGGCAGCGAGTAGTTATTCAATGTAAGTGGGCATGACAGGGATGGCTCGCCAAAGGGATCCTTCACAAAGGAAGAGACGAGGCTGCCCCAATGTTCCTGCTTTCACGTTCAGAACCACAGGAAGCAAATTTCTGGCAGTTTTAGATAGTCATTTTGCACTAGCTTCCAGGCATTGAATATTCAGAAATATTGAAACTAGTCTCAGAGCAGCAATCAAGAATTATTAAACAGACATTTGTGACTGGGTTTTTAAATGTTATTTTCATTTTACTGAACAGGAAGATGGGCCAGACCTCTCCATTCAGTTTGTGAGTTTTCCACAAATACATCCAGCTAAGGAGGGGAAACCAAAGTGTAGATGGAACATAAGCCCAGGCTAGCATCCAATAACATACAACAATAGGGTGAGTCGAAAGTGAGTAAGATCAGGGTTATAATCTGAAAATCCTGCCTTTGCAAATTAAGATAGATAGATAGATAGATAGATGGATAGATGGATAGATAGATAGATAGATAGATAGATAGATAATGTTTGAATACAGATATTCTTTGGCACAGTCATGACCATCAATGAATCCAGCAGGACCCAACAATCTTTTGTTCTCAGCAGTATCATTTCTCTTCTAGACACACCTTAAGCTCACCTCATCTCTATAGAAAGGTATTTCCTACCCTATGCCACATGAACACTTTCCCTATCCCATTATAATTTTGCAGTTCAATCTGAAGCTTAAAAATAATTAAGAAGAAGTTGATGTTCTGTGATGTTGCATTCCATCAAGACCCTCGGTCAACAAACAGAAAGTTGATGGCATTCCTGTGCTCTGCTTCCTAAGAGAAAAGAGAGGCCTCATGT